TAATGCAGCCCCAGGTGTACGTGGCACGGCCCTGTGCATATGTGTATCTGTGCTGCGTTATGTAAACATTCCCATGTGTGTACAGTTTGGTAGTGTTGACACTGGCAGTCAGGTAAACTGTGTTCTCCGCCGGCATTCTGTTTCTGACTAGCCCAGCCCTGTGTGAAGCTGGCAGCTTATCACACCCACTGCTGGGCCCACAGCGTGAGCTTACGAAATCACAAAGTGGGGACCAGCGTAGTGGCACCGTGTGCTGGCATCCCTTATAGTAGAGCCAGTTAGGGTCCTGCACTGCACTTCCAGTCCAGCTCCCTGCTGTGGCCTGGGAAGCAGCAGAAGATGGCCCAGTGCTTGGGCCCCTGCACCCGCGTGGGAGACCAGAGGAAGCCTCTGGTTTCGGCCTAGACCAGCCCCAATTTTGCAGTCATTTGGGAAGTGAACTCTTTTTCTTTCTCTCTCTCTCTCTCTCCCCCCTCTCCCTCTCTTCCCTCTCCCCCTCTCCTCTCCCTCTCTCCCCCCTCTCCCCTTGCCCCCCTCCCCCAACCCCCTCTCCCCCCTCTCTGCCCTCCCTCTCTCCCTCTTTTTAAAGCACAAAGTAGATTTCCCCGGGTGAAATCAAGGCTGAGGCTGCGTCCTCCCGAGAGCTGCGTCATCCTTTTCCTCCTTGGGCTGTGACCCCTTCCTCAACCCTCAGAGCCGGGGACAGCCCTGGCTGCCACCTCCCGTGTCCACCTCTGAAGACTCGAGAGACTACACTGGGGCCCTAGAGCAACCCTGGGCACACTTCCCACAGCAAGACCCTCATCGAACCACACTGTTAACATCCCTTTGGCCATGAGAGACAAGACATCCCCAGGTCCTGTGTGGGCTACAGGCACCGTCAGGGAGACCCACCACCCGTCCTGTCCTAAGACTTCCTGTTGTCTCTCCCAAGTGCACGCTCAGAAGAAAGATATCAAGTCAGAGATGCTTTGTGAAACCTTCATTTGCTGTATTAATTTGTTTGGAAGGCAGAGTGACAGAGAGACAGGAGACAGGAGCACAGAGATAGAAAGAGATCTTCCATCTTCCAGATGGCTGCAGCTGCCCTTCTGTGCCATGTCACAGCAAGAGCCAGGAACTCCTTCTGGATCTTAGGGTGGCAGGGGCCCAAGTCCTTGGGCAGCCGTGTGCTGCCATCTCGGGCATACTGTCAGGAGCTGGACCAGCAGCAGAATGGCCAGGGCCTGCACAAGCGCTCTGATACGGCACGCAGACGTGGCACACAGCGGCTGAGCCCACTGGGCCACGATGCTGGCCTGTGAAAGCTTTAGAACAATTTTAAAGCTATTCTTGCTGTGTGGATGCAACCAAAGCCATGGGAATAGTCAGAAAGGGGGTCCCCACCGTGTTTCCCTGGAGGGGCCTTCTGCACGTGAGCACCCTCTGCGCTGCCGTGATCGAGTCAGGGACCCTTGCCTGCAGCGCCGCGCTGAGACGCACTCTGGTAACGGCGCAGGCTGAGCTGCAGGGCAGCTGATGGACGTCTGCTGCACTGGGCTAGAAACAGCAGTGCGTTGTAAGTGCACGTGCGGAGAGGGGCCTTTCGTAGCATGAAGTGGAAACTGCTCGTATTTACACTGTTCTCTGTACTGTGAAATGACACACCGCTAGACAAGGTGCTGCGTGTTCCGGAGGTCAGTCAGCAGAAGCCTTGCCTGGAGTCTTGTGCAGCGAGGTCTTGAAGACAAGGAGCAAGTGCCGGTCACCGGCTCCTCGCGCCCTGCGCTTGTAACAACGTCGAGATCTGCTGTTGGATATTTGTGATCGTCTGTTTCTCATTTGTATGTGAGCAAAGCCCATTGACTGAGGGCTTCTCACTGTATATTATCTCTTGTACATTTTTTCTGAATTGACATAGCAAACTGTATGTATTCATTGTGTACAAGGTGATGTTTTAAAGAATATTTCAGGCCGGCGCCGCGGCTCACTAGGCTAATCCTCCGCCTTGCGGCGCCGGCACACCGGGTTCTAGTCCCGGTCGGGGCGCCGGATTCTGTCCCGGTTGCCCCTCTTCCAGGCCAGCTCTCTGCTGTGGCCCGGGAGTGCAGTGGAGGATGGCCCAAGTGCTTGGGCCCTGCACCCCATGGGAGACCAGGAGAAGCACCTGGCTCCTGCCATCGGATCAGCGCGGTGCGCCAGCCGCAGCGGCCAGTGGGGGGTGAACCAACGGCAAAGGAAGACCTTTCTCTCTGTCTCTCTCTCTCTCACTGTCCACTCTGCCTGTCAAAAAAAAAAAAAAAAAAGAATATTTCAGTGTGGAAAGGCTAAACCTGGTTAAGTCATACATGGGTTACTTCAGATGATCAGGAATTTTGTGGGGACGACACTGTACAACTACTGCCTTATCCCTGCCTAATGATGCCACATCCCTGTAATGCAGTCACTGGATTCTACAACTCGTTTTCCTTTGCAGCTGACACTTTGTGTCCTTTGTCCTGCCCACACCACCCCAGCCTCTGGCATCCCCTATTCATTCTGTCTCTCTGAGGTCATGTTTTAAGTCCACATGTGCGTGAGAGCGTGCAGTGCTTATCTTCCTGTGCCTCCCGTGTTTTGCTGAACACGGTTCCTCCAGCTTCACCCATGTTGTCACAAGCTACAGGAGCTGTCTGTGGTACGGCTAAGTGGTTTTCTCTTGTGCATGTCAAATGTTCCTGCGCGTCTCACGGGTGAAAACCATGTTTAAGCTGGATAAAGTGAGAGAGAGAGAATACTTGGAATTGCTTTGATGGCTGAGTCAGGCTCTTGCAGTACTTGTAGGGTCTTGTCTTAGAGCAGCGATGTGCATCAATCACTTACACAACTTACATCACTCCAAGTTGCTTAGAGTTTGCCAGACGAAGCAGTGCATTATATGGAAGCAACCTGAGACTTGGGAGAGGAAGTGCATCGTGGCAGTGGTCCACCCAGAGGCCAGGGTCACTGCTCTCCGTTGGGGAGCTGACCCCTGACATGTACCCCACCCCACCAGGGTGCTGAGAGAAAGCTTCAGTCCCCCATCCAGCGGTGCCCGCGGCCTCTTGTGGGTAGCTCTGGCTTTTCCACTCACGCCTCCCAAACCTCTCGCAGGTGTCCCCAACTTGCACCGGATGTGACCCCTGACCTCTCAGAGCTCTCTCCCCCTTAGACCTGCACACAGAAGTTCTCGATTCCCTTCCCTCTGCATTGCTAGGTGCTTCCTTCCCTGATAAAGTAACACTGAGAATAAACCTCGGGCATCCACCGCCCGCCTTGCAGCCCGCCGGTGGGCGACTCTCAGCAGGTCTGCGGAGTGCATCGCAGGCACCAGCCGCCGGCCACACTCCTTTGTCCTAGGACAATGCCAGGGTCGTCCATTTACACGGGAGTGGAGAGGCCCCCTTCTGACTCTCTCTCCTTTCGCACCCACGGTCCCCAAGGAGCTGGAGCGTTTGTGGGGACGGTTTTCTGGAGCAGGCTTCTCTCGTTCTGTCAGTGCCCGGCTTCTTCCCCGCGTCCCTGCCTTTGTGTGCAGAAACGTTCCCTCGGCAGGCAGCGCCGCCGTGCAGTGCTGGTCCCCTGCAGCCGCTGCCGGCTCTGAATTCCTTCAGGATGGCGACAGCGCTGGCTGGGCCATGCCTCGTCCCCGTCTCAGCAGCACGTTTCTCCTCTCTGTTTTCTACGGAGCCACGCACAGCGTATGGAACGTGGTAAACAAGGAATGTTTCGGCAGAGTTCATTACTGGGCCTTTGAAAACAAAGAGTAAAATTAGGTATTTACATGATTAAAGTGACAACAGAATCTGTTTGGAAAAGTCACCACAGGGCTTCTCCCCTGCTCACCACACTTCATCTGAAGCAGTGGATTAGAAGGAACTTGTCGCCATTACGCTTGCTCTTTTTTTTTTTTTTTTTTTTTTTTTTTTTTTTTTTTTTTTGACAGGCAGAGTGGACAGTGAGAGAGAGAGACAGAGAGAGAAAGGTCTTCCTTTGCCGCTGGTTCACCCTCCAATGGCCGCCGCTGCAGCCGGCGCACCGCGCTGATCCTGGCAGGAGCCAGGAGCCAGGTGCTTTTCCTGGTCTCCCATGGGGTGCAGGGCCCAAGCACCTGGGCCATCCTCCACTGCACTCCCTGGCCATAGCAGAGAGCTGGCCTGGAAGAGGGGCAACCGGGACAGAATCCGGCGCCCCAACCGGGACTAGAACCCGGTGTGCCGGCGCCGCAAGGTGGAGGATTAGCCTATTGAGCCACGGCGCCGGCTGTACGCTTGCTCTTTTTAAAAACCCACCAACTAGGCCGGCGCCGCGGCTCACTAGGCTAATCCTCCGCCTAGCAGCGCCGGCACACCAGGTTCTAGTCCCGGTCGGGGCGCTGGATTCTGTCCCGGTTGCCCTTCTTCCAGGCCGGCTCTCTGCTCTAGCCAGGGAGTGCAGTGGAGGATGGGCCAGATGCCAAGGCCCTTCCCCCCTCCCTGGCCATAGCAGAGAGCTGGCCCCTGGGTCCTGCCATCGACAGAATCCGGCGCCCCAACCGGCGGCAGCCATTGGAGAGTGAACCAACGGCAGGGGAAGACCTTTCTCTCTGTCTCTCTCTCTCTCACTGTCCACTCTGCCTGTCAAAAAAAAAAAAAAAAAACCCACCAACTTATTTATTTATTTGCAAGAAATAGTGACCAAGCAAGAATGAGAGAGTGAGAGCGAGAGCGAGCGTGTTTCATTCACTGCTTCATCCTGAAAAGCCCACAAACCCCAGGTCTAGGCCAGGCCAGAGCCAGGAACCAGTCTCCATTCTGATCTCCTGTGGAGAGCAAGGCCCCAGCACTTGGCCGTCATCCACTGCCTTCCCAGCAGGTCAGCAGGTTGCTGGTGTCCCAAGTGCTGGCTCAACCCACTCTGTCCCAACTCTGCTAGTATGTATCTAGGTATGTATCTAAGTATGCAGCTAAGTATGTATCTAAGTATGTATCAAAACCACTTAGATTTATTTTATGTTTCCCCAGGACGGTCCTATGAAGTGTTATGGAGGAAGGCGTGTGATGCTCACTCACGGATGAAGAACTGAAGTGCAGAACAAATACGGATCTTGCTTAAGGTGACTGAGTAAGGGTTTGCTGTTCCAGTGGCCGTTCTACCATACAAAACGTCGTCTGAATACACTACACGACACACGACGGAGAGTCGGGACTCCGGTGAGTACGGGGCCAGCTTCCTGAATGGTCTATGAAAGCTCGGGGCGGTGGTGCAGGGAGGAGGGTCCCCAGCCCCTGGGTGAGGGGGGCAGGGGGGCAGGTGGGATGGTGTGCAAGGTGCACCCAGACACTGAGACGTTCCATCTTCGCACACATACACACGTGCACACACACACACTGGTGACTTCTGCCTTGGCTCTGCGGGTTCTGCCCAGGGCCAAAAGTCTGCATCTTCTCAAACGCTGAAGAACTATTTGTTTCTGACATTGTTAAGAAGCCCATCAGCTATTTTCAGCTTTTAAAAATAAAACTGACTCTTATGGTATGACTTAGGGAAGCAGTATTATGGTATGACTTAGGGAAGCAGTGCCATGAACAGACAGGCTGTGCTACAACCACCAACTGAAAGTACTCTCCAGATTGACTGGTGGCGGACTTGGCATTGACGCATGCGCGTTCCGTTCGTACTGTGTAGATTTTAGCCAGTGTGCTGCAGAAAAAGCCGGAGACGCTGCCCCAGGCTTCCCACCCCGGGGAGCTGCCCTGCGGCCGCTTGGGGTTACAGCTCCAGGGGTCTTGTTTCTCCCCAAGAACCTCTGAATAGTTTGTATGATAAAAATCTTGCAGAAGACGCTTTTATATATTACGTAGTGTTTTCTGTTTTTAAAAAGTTGCCCTTAAAATTCACTTTAATTTTAGACGGCTTTGAAGAATTAAAAGAGGGAAGGCACCAAGTGTGCATCACATTAAGTGGTGGAATTGCATCGCAGAAGCTTCACTCAGAAGGCGCGCTCTTCAGGTAGCCCTGTGCCTTGCAGGGGCGCAGCAGTGAGAGTCTGGTTTTATGCAGAGCTCTCCCCCTGGCTGCTTTTCAGTAAGCACCATGCTGTTGCAGGCGCTGCTGTCTCCTGCCCTGGGAGTGAAGGATGCAGGACGAATGGGACTCCTGTTCTGGGTGAGATGGGACATGAACACGCAGGCCCAGCCGTGCCTCGGTCACTGCCACGTGAGATGGGACCTCCATGCACGGAGCTTCCTGACACAGGGCATTGGTGCCAGACAAACCCATTTTGTTGACTGTGACAAACGCTCACATATGTTGGTCTGTTGACAAGGTATGGGAATTTGAATCGCCTTTGGTGGCAGCATTCTCCAGCTACGGTCTAGCTCGAAACTTTAAGAGGTTGCAGACATTGCCGGAGGCCAGCTGAGCTGCGTCCGTGTGCAGGGGGTCTCTCGATAGCCTGCTAAACTGGACTCCCCTAAGGACTCAGAGTCCGGAAACAGCACCGTGGGCATTGGCTGGCATAAATACACTAATTTAAATGACAGCAGGTAAAAAAAATGATCTGGCTTAGAAGACGGGATGTACTCGGCTGTGCTCCACTCCCAGACAAGGCAGGCTGAGATTCCTCACGTCTCGGTGGTGCTCTAAAGTCCCTGAGAGCAGCCGGTGCCTGTTACGCCTGTGTGTCATGTAGGGAACACATGTGTCGCTGCTGTTCTTAGTGACATGGAGAGCGCTAGTCACGAGCAGACGGTGTTACTTCAAGTTGGAAGTAAAACCATCGCCCTGGGTGGCCTGTTAGGCGTTCATCTGGATCTTCATCGCCTCCAAACTGGCCTTTGACCTGAGGCAGGTCCGCCTCCTGCAGGCCGGTGCCTGGCGTCAGTCCCGGAAGCACACTTCCCATGGGGCCAGTGCAGAAGTCAGCATTCCTGTGGGGAAATCATATAAACACTAGAATTTATGTACTGCTTTTCATCTTCATACGACTTGTAAATATCAGTTGATCTCTCGAGCCAGGACCCTGCCCTGTAGGCCACTCTGCTCCAGGAATAATGGGACAAAGCTGCAGGTATCCCAGCCAGCAGGCTCGGGCAGTGCCTGGCGTGCCAGGGCCCACTGGCCTCTGCACAGCCTCTCCAGTCACCGTGCCTTCTCTGTCGCCCTCAGTCTGAACTGAATGAGCACCTTCTAAGGCATTGCAAAGAAGATTTTGATGTGCATGGCATCCAAAACCAAAATCACTTGGCATTTCTGGTGTTTTCTCAAAAACTGCTATACTCCCAGAATTTTATTTTCATTTCATTTGTTCTGAGGATATGTTACTTCCCAAGCAAAACCTGCGGCTTAGGTTAGCTTGTTTCTCAGTCCAGCCTAAAATGGAAAGTAACTTACTTCCTCAGGAAAACAGGAAACTAAGGGAAAGCAAACGGTGCCCGCAATTGGCTAAATAAGGCAGTCCAGAAAGCAGGTGTGTGTTGGAAGCCTCATTCTCTGTCCCCAGGACTTTGTAGAGTGTGCTAACACAGGGTTTTAAAAATATAGTGACTCTCTTGTTTCTTTTCTGATCATGGGAATCTTATGCCTTATAAAAGCAGTGGGAAAAATGCTTTTATATTTTTTAGAAAGCTTGTATTTAATAAATATAAATTTCATAGGTACAGCTTTAGGAATATATTTGTTCTTCCCCCCACAGCTGCCCTCCCACCCCAACTCCTGTCCCACCTCCTACTCCCTCTCCCATTCCATTCTTCATTAAGATTCAGTTTTAATTATCTTTATGTACAGAAGACCAACTCTGTACTCAGTGAAGATTTCAACAGTATGCACCCACACAGACACACATAGTAGAAAGCGCTGTTTGAAGACAGATTTGGCCATTGATTCTCATAGTACTGCTCAATAAAGACTGAGGTCCTACATGGGGAGTAAGTGACTCCTGCTGTTGATTTAACAATTGACACTCTTATCTATGAGGTCAGTGATCACTGGAGGCCCTTGTCATGAGCTGCCAAGGCTATGGAAGCCTTTTGAGTCCACAAATGTTTTCGGTATTTAGAAAGGACCATAAGCAAAGTGGAAGTTCTCCTCCCTTCAGAGAAAGGTACCTCCTTCTTTGATGGCCCCTTCTTTCCACCGGGCGCTCATTCACAGAGATCCTTAATGTAGATCATTTTTTGCCACAGTGTCTTGGCTTTCCATGCCTGATTACTCTCATGGGCTTCTTAGCCAGATCTGAATGCCTTAAGGGCTGATTCTGAGGTCAGAGTGCTGTTTAGGGCGTTTGTCATTCTGTGAGTCTGCTGGGTGGCCGGCTTCCCATGTTGGATTGTTCTCTCCTTTTTAAGTCTACCAATTGTTATTAGCAGACACTTGGTCCTATTTATGTGATCCCTTTGACACTTACTCCTATCTATATGATCAGCTGCGCACTCAAAGTGATCACTTTAACTAGTAAGATGGCCTTGGTACCTGACAACTTAATGGGATTTGGAATGCTATGACAAGTTTTTAGCTTTACCCTTAGGGGTGAGTTTTTAGCTTTAACTTAGGGGTAAGTCCACGGGAAAATGTGCCAAACTGTTTATCTCCTCCCTCTCTTATTCCCACTCTTATTTGTAACAGGGATCAATTTTCAATTGGATTTAAACACCTAAGAATAATTCTTTGTTAAGTAAAGAGTTCAACCAATGGTATTAAGTAGAAAAAGAAAATACTAAAAAGAATTAAATAGTAAGCTGTTTTTTGACAGTCAAGACAAGAGCTGATCAAGTCACTGTTTCTCATAGTGTCAGTTTCACTTCTACAGGTTTCCTTTTAGGTGCTCAGTTAGTTGTCACAGATCAGAGAGAACATATGATACTTGTCCCTTTGGGACTGGCTTATTCCAGTAAGTATGATGTTTTCCAGGTGCATCCATTTTGCTGCAAATGTCCAGATTTCATTGTTTTTTTTTTTTACTGCTGTGTAGTATTCCATAGAGTACATATCCCATAATTTCTTTATCCAGTCTAAAGTTGATGGGTATTTAGGTTGATTCCAGGTCTTAGCTATTGTGAATTGAACTGCAATAAACATGGAGGTGCAGATAGCTCTTTTATGTGCCAATTTAATTTCCTTTGGGTAAATTCCGAGGAGTGGGATGGCTGGGTCATGTGGGAGGGCTATATTCAGATTTCTGAGTTATCTCCAAACTGTCTTCCATAGTGGCTTTACCAGTTTGCATTCCCACCAACAGTGGATTAGTGTCCCTTTTTCCCCACATCCTTGCCAGCATCTGTTGTTGGTAGATTTCTGAATGTGAGCCATTCTAACGGGTGAGGTGAAACCTCATTATGGTTTTGATTTGCATCTCCCTGATTGCTAGTGGTCCTGAACATTTTTTCATGTGTCTGTTGGCCATTTGGATTTCCTCTTTTGAAAAATGTCTGTTTAAGTTGGCCCATCTCTTAAGTGGGTTGTTTGTTTTGTTGTTGTGGAGTTTCTTGATCACTTTGTAGATTCTGGTTATTAATCCTTTATCAATTGCATGAGTTGAAAATAACTTCCCCCGTTCTGTCATTTGCCTCTTCACTTTCCTGTTTCTTTTGCCATACAGAAACTTCTCAATTTGATGTAATCTCAATTGTTAATTTTGGCTTTGACTGCCTGTGCCTCTGAGGTCTTTTCCAAGAAGTCTTTGCCTGTGCCTTGCAGGGTGTCTTGATTTTCTCTGATAATTTGATAGTGTTGGGTTGTAGATTTAGATCTTTAATGCATGTTGAGTGGATTTTTGTGTAAGGTGTAAGGTATGGTAATCCAGTTTTCCCAGCACCATTTGTTGAATAGACTGTCATTGGTCCAGGGATTGGTTTTAGCTCCTTGATCAAATATAAGTTGGTTGCAGCTGGTTAGATTGACTTTCTGGTGTTTCTATTCTGTTCCATTGGTCTATCCATCTGTTTCTGTACCAGTACCAGGCTGTTTTGATTATAACTGCCCTGTAGTATGTCTTGAAATCTCATATTGTGATGCCTCTGGCTCTGTTTTTGTTGTAGAGGATTGTTTTAGATGTTCGAGGTCTCCTATGCCTCCATATGAATTTCAGCATCATTTTTTCTAGATCTAAGAAAAATGTCTTTGGCAATTTGATTGGTATCGCGTTGAATCTGGAAATTGCTTTTGGAAGAATGGCCATTTTGATGATATTGATTCTTCTAACCCGTGAACATGGAAGATTTTTCCATTTTTTGTATCTTCTTCTGTTGCTTTCTTTAATGTTTTGTAATTCTCATTGTGGAGATCTTTGACATCCTTGGTTACATTTATTCCAAGGTGTTTGATTCTTTTTTGTAGCTATTGTGAGTGAGACTGATCTTAAATGTTCTTTCCCAGCCATGGCATTGTCTGTGTATACAAAGGCTGTTGATTTTTGTGTATTGTCTTTATATTCTGCCATTTTACCAAAGTCTTCTATGAAATCCAGTAGTCAATTAGTGGAGTTATTTGGATCCCCTCTGTATGGAATCATATCATCTGTAACTAGGGATAGTTTGATTTCCTCCTTCCCCATTTGTATCCCTTTGATTTATTTTTCTTGCCTAATGGCTCTGGCTAAAACTTCCAGGACTATATAGATTAGCAGTGGTGAGAGTGGGCATGCCTCTCTGGTACTGGATCTCAGTGGAAATCCTTCCAACTCAGTATGAAGCCAGCTGTGGGGTTGTCATAAATTGCCTTCATTGTGCTGAGGAATATTCCTTCTATACCCAATTTGCCTAAAGTTTTTATCATGAAAGGGTGTTGTATTTTATCAGATGGTTTCTCTGCATCTATTGAGATAATCGTATGGTTTTGTTAAGCAGTTTATTAATATGATGTATCCCATTGATTGATTTGTGAATGTTGAACCATTCCTGCTTTCCTGACCTACATCCCACATGGTCTGGGTGGATGATCTTTCTGATATTTTGTTGGATTCAATTGGCTAGAATTTTATTGAGGATTTTAGCATCTATGTTCATCAGGGAAATTAGTCTGTAATTTTCTTTCTCTGTTGCATCTTTTTCAGGTTTAAGAATTAAGGTGATGCTGGCTTAGTAGAAAGAATTTGGGAGGATTCCCTTTCTTTCAATTGTTTTGAATAGCTTGAGAAGAATTAGAGTTAGTTCTCCTTTAAATGTCTGGTAGAATTCAGCAGTGAATCCATCCAGTCCCGGGCTTTTCTTTGTTGGGAGAGCCTTTACTACTGATTCAATTTCTGTGTTGGTTATAGGTCTGTTTAGGTTTTTCTATGTCTTCATGGCTCTATTTAGGTAAGTTGTATGTGTCTAGGAATCTATCCGTTTCTTCCATGTCTCCCAGTTTGTTGACATACAACTCTTTGTAATAATTTCTGATGACTCTTTATTTTTGTGGTGTCTGTTGTTACATTTCCTTTTTCATCTCTAATTTTATTGATTTGGGTTTTCTCCCTCCTTTTTGTTTGGTTAGTTGGGCCAATGGCGTGTCAGTTTTGTTTATTTATTTATTTATTTTGAAAAAGTAGCTCTTCATTTTGCTGATCTTTTGTGTTGGTTCTTTTTGGATTCAATTTTGTTGATTTCTTCTCTAATTTTAATTATTCTTTTGCTCTTACTAGTTTGGGGTTTGGTTTGCTGTTATTTTTCTATCTCGTTGTGATGCATTGAAAGCTCCTTTGTGTGGTGCTTTTCCAGTTTCTTGATGTAGGCACCTATTGCTATAAACTTTCCTCTTAACACCCTTTTTGCTGTACCCCATAAGTTTTGATATGTTGTGCTGTTATCCTCATTTACTTCCAGAAAGTTTTTGATTTCTCTTAAGATTTCTTCTATGGCTCACTGTTCATTCAGGAGTATGTTGTTCATCTCTCTGTGTTTCCACATGTGCTAGAGATTCCTGAGTTGCTGATTTGCAGCTTCATTCCACTGTGGTCTAAGAAGGTGCGTGGTATTATTTCAACGTTTTTGAATTTCCTGAGACTCGCTTTATGGCCTAGTATGTGGTCAATCCTAGAGTAGGTTCCATGTACTGCTGAGAATGTAAATTCTTTATGTGTAGGACGAAAAGTTCTGTAGATATCTGTTAGATCCATTTGGTCTATATTGTCAATTAAATCTATTTCCTCATTGGTTTTCTGTCTGGTTGATCTGTCCATTGCTGAAAGTGGAGTATTGAAGTCCCCCAGTACTATTGTATTAGAGTCTAAGTGTCCCTTTAAATCCTTTAACATATCTTTTAAATAGCCAGGTGCCCTGTAATTAGGTGCATATACATTTATAATAGTTCCATCTTCCTGTTGACTTGATCCCTTAATCATTATATAGTGCCCCTCTTTGTCTCTGTTAACATTTTTTGTGTTACAGTCTATTCTGTCTGATATTAGGATGGCTACACCAGCTCTTTTTTGATTTCTGTGGCATGGACTGTGTTCTTCCATCCTCTAACTTTCATTCTGCGTGCATCGTTGTTGGTGAGATGTGTTTCTTGTAGGCAGCAAATAGATGGGTTTTGTTTTTTTTTAATCCATTCTTCCTGTCTGTGTCTTTTTACTGGGGAGCTGAGGCCATTTACATTCAAGGTGACTATTGATAAGTAATGACTTTGCTCTGTCATTTTTCCAAAAATATTCACATTTTTTACTTTGAATTTCCTTTGAACTTTTACTGAGAGATTTTCTTCTTTTACCTTCTTTTGTACTGATAACCATGTTTCTGTGTGCAATACATCCTTAAGCATCTTTTGTATGGCTAGTCAAATGGTGACAAATTCCTTCAATTACTGTTTGTTATGGAAGGTCTTTATTTCACCTTTATTCACAAATGAGAGCCTTCCAGGGTATAATATTCTGGGATGACAGTCTTTTTTTTCTCTTAAGACTTGGACTATGTCTCGCAATTCTCTCCTAGCCAGTAGGGTTTCTGATGAGAAATCACTGTGAATCTAATTGGAGATCCTCTGAGAGTAATCTGACGTTTTTCTCGTGCACATTTTAGAATCTTCTCTTTATGTTTTACTGTGGTGAGTTTGATTACAGTGTGTTGTGGCAAAGATCTTTCTGGTCATGTCTATTAGGAGTTTTGTGTGCTTCCTGTACTTGGATGTCCCTTTCTTTGTCTCAACCAGGAAAGTTTTCTGCTATTATTTCACTAAAAAAGGCCTTCTAATCCTTTCTCTCTCCATGACTTCAGGAACTCCTAGAACCCACATGTTCGTCTTTTTATAGTGTCCTGTAGATTCCCAACAGTGTTATCCAGTTGTATAGTGTCCTCTTCTTGTCTTTCGTTTAACTGTCAACTTTCCTATGCTTTGTCTTCTAAGTCCAATTTTCTTCTGCTTTGGCCGATTCTGTTGTTAAGGCTCTCCACTATATTTTATATTCGTTCTGTTGAATTCTTCATTTCATTTTGCTTTCTCTTTAAGATCTCAATTTCATGGGAGAAAACTTTCTTTCATGTCCTGTATGGATTTCAGTCGTTTGTGCATTTGCTTCTGATTACTTCTCTGCAGTCTTATGAATTTTTAGAATTCATTTCTTGCTTTTCTTCAATCTCATCATCTTCACAATCTAGTATTGAAGTGTCGTGTTCTTATGGGCATCACGTTGTCTTTCTTATTCTTGTTTCTTGAGTTGGTGTTTGTTGTTTGGCATTTGCAGACGGAGATATTCGGTCCCCCCACCGTGGCTGCTTTTATCACTGTTCTATGACTATAGATAAGTGGACTGTCTGCTTTCAGTGAATCTCCAGAGGCTTGTAGTGGGTGTGGCCAGAGAGCTCTGTTCGTTTCTGCAGGGTTAAGGGCGTGCCTCGGGCGGCACACCCAGATTTGGCCTGGTCAGTCTTCACTGTTTAATCAGAAGGGAAATTTATTCTGCTCAGCTGAGCTCCCCTCCTCAGTGCAGACCACTGCTTGAGTGACAGCCCCGCTGGGTATAATACTCATCCGCTCTGTCCCGAGGACCACACAAAGGACCTGTGCAGTCCTCTGTGTAAGGTCGGTTCCCCCGCAACGTCTCTCTCCAAGTAGCCAGGAACCCCTTGCTTGTGGCGTCTCCCATTGAGACTGCCGAAGTGCCAGCCACACCGTGAGTCCTCCCACACACCCTCGGATTTTCAGTCCCAGCACAGAAGCCTCACACAGGCTCCCGGCCCTGTTTGTCCTCCCACCAGAGTCAGGAGTCCTGGCTGGTTGCTGGCGCAGCTGTTACGTATGTCCAAAATGGCGCCCACCACTGTCCAGTGAGTGGAGAGTGACGTGTCTGTCCTACCTTTTTCTGGTTTTCCTCTAGTTTGGCTGGTGCACGTCCCCCCATGGGGCTCCAAGCTGGTTCCCTCTCAGCTCTTCTTGCAGCTTTCTCAGCAGTGGCTTGGATGCTGGGGTCTGGTCTCACCTCACTTTCCAACACTGGTGTGTAGGCTCTTGGCTGTTGGAGTCCCGAGTCGTGGGCGCCCATGCCCTCCACGTAGGTCTACTGTGCCCCTCTGATTTCGCTCGAGTTTCCTCTGCCATTTTCTCCCTAACTCTTCCTTGAGAATACACTATCTCCACATTTTAAAACAATCTTCTCCTGGGCTAGACCAGTAAGATCCCTCCCTACTCTGCCATCTTGGTACCCACTTTTGCATTTTTATAGAAACTATTTTGCCATGTAAAGATTTTGACATTAAGATAAAATACTGAATTTGTTTTAGATTATATTAAAACCAAAGAAACGCAGTAAGTTAAAAATCAGGGCTTTCATTCAGAGCAGAAGAGGACAGCAGCTCTGCGTAGACAACTTCCATTGCCCCGCTCTGTGTACTGCAACCCCAGCATCAGTGAAATGAAGGTGGTCCGGGGCCTGCCCCGGGCTTGCTAACTGTGGAGGTCTGAAACGAGCCAAGCACATGCGGCTGAGTGTTTATGCAGGTTATATCCTGAGAAGTTGAGAGTGAATTGAGGACATGTCAGGGATATTGCAGATAGTGAGTAGACTTAAGAACTCACAACTCACGAAGCAACGTGCACTCTGCAGACACTAAAAGTTATGAGTGAGAACCGTGCCAGCTGTCAGAGCCTCGCACACATGCCTGTGCCCCTAACGTGCCAGTCACGGGGAGCAAGACACACATCCTGTCCACGTATGGACACTGCCTGGACTCAGGACGAGCGTGGGACAGACCGCAGCTGTGACCACGAGTGTTTGCTGTTGCTTCTTAGCTTGCAGCACCGGGGAGAGGCAGGCGTGGGACCTTGTGCCGTTCAGACGAGGAGCGTGTCCTGGGTGTTCAGACTTCTGCATACTTTAGAAGTAAAGAGGACAGAATCCAGCATTGAGAACTGTGTGATTTGAGGGCTGTGGGTATGGTTCAGGTGTTTTCCTCATAACTGAAATCTGCACCCTGCTAAGAAGGCAACACTAGTGAGCCCACTTCTCACCTGAGGCCCAGGACAGCAAAGCTGGCTGTGCGGGCAGCAGAGCAGGACCCACGCCCTGAGGTGCTGTGAGGGAACCTGGTGGCCAGAGTGGCCGTGTCATGTCTGGACCTTCTCCAGAGTGTGTGTCCTGAACACTCGGTTAACCCTGGACAGAACCAAGTCACAAAACCCTAAGCTCTCGCTGTTATTGTCTGTTATGTTATAGCTCACACAGGTATTTAGACCAAAGCATAGCAAATCTGGTCCAACAGTTCTGCTCCCAGACTTCTTTGGTTCATACAAGGAGGCCACACACTCTGCTCTCAGTTCTTAATAATTGCCTGCGACACACCCATGCCTCTTGCAAGTCGGGAGTGTGGGGTCAGTGGAAAGCTGAGCTTTGCAGTGAGAAATGGCCGCCATACCCACGCCTTGCAGGGGCGGGGTGGGGGGAGGTCTCCAGGAGGTGCCTGATTCTGCTCACTCGCTCTGCAACTCGCGGAAGCTGGTTCAGGTGGACACTGCACAGTGATGGGCTGCCGGCAGCTGCCTCGCTGCAGCTCAGGCCAGAGGTAGAAGCTCACCGTGGTTAGCAGGCTTACACTTTTAAATAATCTCAACTATAAACAAAGACTTACATTGTGTTTTTGAGTTGGGTGCACCTTTCAGGCATTGGGGTGAACCGGCTGCAGCACTGGGGGTGCACCCGGCGGTGGTGACTGGAGACTGAGTTCCTATCGTTGCCATCATCAGGGGACACTGACACCACCACCCCAGGCTGGTTACCCTCAAGTCCCGGCAGCCACTGCTCCTCGGGTCATGTGGCACCTTCACGTGTATGCGATCAGAATCCAAACATGTTTAAAATCTGTTTATTAATGTGCCACAGATATTTACAAGATCTTAATAATATACACTTTCTCTCCAAACAAGTCCGTGTAAAGAATGTGTCAGAGTTAACTGCTTTCAAAAGTGCAGATTTGTGGTTCATTCGTCAGAGAAGCGGCCGAACAGGGAGACAGCAGAAACCAGCACGGCTGGCAGGAGGTGGGCACTGGAGCCCAAGACCTGAATTCCTCTGGAACTCAAACCTGCAAAACAGGAAAATCAAACAAGATCATCTTGAGGGAAAGTCAAGTTGCTTGTTATATTCTCTCTAGGAGCTTATCCTGTTACACCTGTTTCATTGGCATTTTATTCAATTTTAGGAAGTGCCTTGACCCTCTGTCCTTTGATATCTGTTTCCAGTATAAAAATGCAAACGAACAATGCCGGCATCGGCACAGTCGGCCTGGCGGGCAGGGCCCGTGACCTGCGGCACAGCCTCAGGCTGCCGAGTGACTCCTCCACAGCAGAAGCAGCGGTTACCTCTGTATGCCCGCTCTGAGGGTGCTAGCACGCTCAGGAGGACTGGGGAGCTGGGGGGCTGAGTGGCCGCCGTGAGCCAGGAGTGCGGAAGGGGCCCGTGCACAGTGGCTGTGGGGGTCCCCCCATCCCGGTGCCGGTGCTCCAGTGACTCACAGTGGAGTCCCTCAGAGTTTCAGTGAACACACAGAACACTGGCTGTGTACACGGTGCACACCTGACGGGTCAGTCAGGGGACCAGGTCACCGCCTCCTACTCACACTGCACCTGGAGCCCGGACCTCTGACGTCACCCGACACGTACACACGGTCGGATAGCTCCCGGGGCAGTGGTGTGGGTTAGAAACCTGCAGAGGCCGCGGGGCTGCACTCACTGGACATTCCGGGGATCCGGATCTCCTGGCTGCTGCTCCCGTCTCCACCGTCGCTCACGGTTCTTATTTCTATCAAGTAATCCTCTTCGAAGGGAACCAGCAGCTCCGCCGAGGTGTTGTTGGTTTCCAGAACGTGCATCTTACTCTGCCTGCTCTGCCTGTAGAGAATCTGAGATGGTGACGTTCTATTAGCACGAGCACGTGGCTGTTCCCGGGGCAGACGAGGCCTCCTGGGACGGAGACCCGATTGTCCTGCTAGGGACAAGATTGCCTACTTGGCCAGTGACTCCGGAATGAAGCCCATTTCTCTCTATTAAGTGAATAGCTGAGGCCCTAATCTTTGGAGCTGCTGCGAAAGTGATCACTTGGTTTTGACTCTGCTCAGATGTCCCCATGCACGCGCCTGACAAGAGGTGACAGCCGTCACCTCCTGTGGAAATGTCTCTCTCGACTCTTCCTAGATCCCTGTCTTAGTGCCGCTAGAAACTCCATCTGCGCTGAGAGGCGAATCCCGTCTCTGACCTCATCCTCATCTCCCGTCTGCCATCACGCGCTGCCATCTGCGGCAGGGGCCGGAGTGGCATCTGCCCGATTTCACTTTATGACGCTGGAGGACACATGACTGGACTTAGCTCTAAAACCTCTTCTCTGAGCACTCTGGGATCGGCAGTGACCGGTGTCTTTGAACCACTTGGTAAGGATTCTGATTTCCATATGCATAAAATCTGTTTTCTATTTGCTGAGACACACTTGGTTCTTGAGTAATTTAACGGCTGTATTTAAAAGAAGGAAATACTCACCTTATAGCCTAACACTTCCGACTCATTTTCCATGGTTTTCACGTGCTCCCAGTTCAAGCACAGTTTAGAGTTTGAGAGCTTCCAGGCAATGTTTGCTGGGGGTTGGCTTGGAGCTGGAAAAAGATAATCAAAGATCCAAATGAATATTAATCTGCTCACGGTCACTGTGTGACACATCAACATGAAAAGGAAAAACAAGTCCTCAGTGTTAGTGTAGGAGGAGCTGAAATGTTTTCAGTCATTTGAAATAACATATTAATTCTAATCAGAGGAAGCAAATTTATTCAAATTCTGGTCATTTGAGAATGCCTTCCTGACACTTAGGATTCGTGATGACTTGCTAAGTGTCAGTATGAATCGCGGCTGGTGAGCTTGTGCACTGCGTGGCACAGCAGTGGGTGGAGGGGCCATTCTGTGCTCCGCTGGATGTCAGTCCGTGTGCAGGAGACGCGCACTGCGGCCGACACTCCATCTAGGTGAGGCTGCAGGCGTTCGTGCCTCCACACTGCAGTAGTTGGGATTCTTAGATAGAGCTGACGCCTCCAGATCAAGACGTGTCACAAGAAACCTGAGTGAGGGATTCGGGAGAATCTGCTAGAACCCGTGGCAGAGGCAGCAGCGGCTCAGAAGAGGTGGAGTCAGCGTCCTACACCAGGAAGGGCTCTTCTGCTTCCACGGTGCCTACAGCAGGCGTCACATCTGCCACCACACCTGCTGAGTGACAGCTCCTCTCCCCAGAGGCAGGCCACTCTTCAGTTCCCAGGAGACAGCTGATGCTTGACACAAGTTGGCTTATGTTTACCTTGGCCCAATCAAATGTGAATGTATCTTAGGAAAGATGCAGACCATTTAACATACAGAGAGCTGCTGGGGGAAATGAACACAATCTAGCAGTCATCCCAAAGATGCCCACTCCAAATCCAGACGGGCTTCTCGTTCTGACGTGAATGCAGAGAGAATGGCGAGGAAGGGAGGAAGGACTTAGAATATGCCATTGGAAGTAGAGGATGTGTGCAGCTAGAGAATTTTCATATTTATGTAGAGGGAAGGGACTTGGTATGTTTCTTATTTATACTTCTAAGTACATAATGCTTTTCCCCACACTTACTTGTTCCCTCCTCTTTGCTTTCTTATTTTATTTGAATTTTTGTGATGACATACGCTCAATGTACCTTGGACTCGTAAGCCTCCACTAAATACAGAATTCAACAAGTAGAAAGAATACGGTCCCTCAGGAATATGGACAAGGGCTGTAAACAGTCGTCACACCTCAAGGTGTCACTTTCACTCACATACATTTTTTGTACTCTATAGTTGGCACACATCAGGGAAAACATGTTTGCTGTCTTTTTGGGGACTGGCTTATTTCACTAAGCATAATGGTCTCCACCTGCATCCATTTTGCTGCACAAGATGGGATTGCATTGTTTTTATGGCTAAGTAGTATTCCCTCATGTTTATACGCCACACTCTATCCAGCCATCAGTTGATGGACTTCTGGGTTCATGCCGTACGTTGTCTGTTGTGAGTTGAGCTGCTGTAACATGGGGGCACAGCTGACTTTCATATACTGATTTAATTTCCTTTGAGAACACTCCCAGGAGGGACAGACTGTCTCCCACAGTGGTTGTGCTAGTTTACATTCCCAGCAGAGTATTAGGGCAGCTTTTTCCACATCCTTGCCAGCATCTGTAATTTTTAGATTTGTGTACGACAGCAGTTCTAACCAGGGTGGCTTTAATTTGCATTTCCTTGAGGACTAGAGATCCTGAGCATCTTCGCATCTTTCCATGTGTCTGTTGGCTATTTGCATTGCATCACCTGAAAAGTGCCTATTCATATCTTTAGCACATGGCTTTTTAAAAAAATATATGTATTTATTTGAAAGAGTAAGAGAGAGAAAGAGAGAGCAAGAATCTTTATCTGCTGGTTTATTCCCCCGATGGCACAGGGCCAAGGTGAAGCCAGGCATTTCATATAGGTTTCCCACACGGGTGGCAGGGGTCCAAGCACTTGGGTCATCTTCCACTGCTTTTCCCAGGCCATTAGTGGGGCTCTGAAGCAGAAGTGGAACAGCTGGGACACAAACCGGCACCCATATGGGACACCAGTGTCACAGGGGACAGCTTTATCCACCAAGCCACAGCACCAGCACCCCTCAGCCCATTCCTTAACTAGATTGTTCTGTTGTTGCTGTAGAGCTTCTTGAGATCTTACATATTCTGGATGTTCGTCCTTTATCAGATTTTGCAGGCATGGCTTCCAGAGGGCAGGGCAGGATTCTGTGTGAGTGGGTGGGTGGGTGGCTGAGCTGGATCTGAGTCGTGGTGCACTGCCTTCCAGCCTGGTGTTTCTCTGTCCTCACAATGCCAGTCCACCAGACTGTTTTTGAAATTTAAGAAACTGAAAAGATTAAAAATAATTCATCTGAAAAGCAGAAGCAAAGATAAAACTGCCCAGTAAGATATTCTGGGCACCTTTTTCTCAGTTTGTGAGACTGAACGAATGTCAGAGTTCACTCATTACCGATGGAAACGGAAACATTTCCTTCAGAGATCTGACGCAGCTGCTGCACACCTACTAAGTCTGGGTGTCTCCTGTCTCAGGAGCAGTGCATTGGTTATTTAGAGAGTTTGCTTCTTCTGCCAGTTACAAGGTAGAAAGAATAGAGCTTCGATGTCAGGGAGATCCATTTAGTCTTTTCCAAGGACCCAGGTTTCCCATTTTTGAAGTGAGACTAAGAATATGAAAATATCCTCACTCAGTCACTGTTCACTTCCTGAGAACAGAAGTTCTCCTCTGTGATGTTAGGACATAATCAGTTTTCCAACTCTGTTCAAATGGTTTGTTCCTAGTAATCGTATTCTGAAGTTTGCAAATGATTTCATTTATTAGCACAGTCAGCCTGGATTCAAGATTGCCCCTTCAGTATATTGCTTTTACTGGGATTCTGCATGCCTTCTGCAGGGAGATGAAATTGGAGAGTTCCAGCTGAGAGATCGCATTGTCCACAGGCTTTCTTATCTGTACCCATGCTCATCTCTCCCATGCCAATGCCCTATGTGCCCTATTTAAAAAGCCTCTGATAGAATTAAAAAGGGGAGAATGATCCCTCATGGGAAGCAGGACACACAGCAGACTCATAGAATGACAAATGCCCTAAACAGCACTCTGACCTCAGAATCAGCCCTTAAGGCATTTGTTTCTGGCTAAAAAGCCCATGAGAGTTTCTCAGGCATGAAAAGCCAAGACATTGTGGCAAAAAAAAAAAAAATTAACCTAAATGAAAGACCTCTGTTAATGAGATCCCAGTGGAAAGAACAGGCCATCAAAGCTCTGAAGGGAGGAGAGAACTTCCACTTTGAACATGGCCTTGTCTAAATAAGATCGGAGTTTGTGAACTCAGAGGCTTCCATAACCTTGGCAGCTCAAGACAAGAGCCTCGGGGGAATCTCTGATGTCATAAATAAGAGTGTCAATTGTTAAATCAACAATGGGAGTCACTGGGCACCTGCTCTCCATGTAGGATCTCTGTCCTTAATGTGCTGTACTATGAGAATTAATGGTAAAACTACTACTCAAACAGTATTCTGTATGTGTCTCTGTGTGTGCAGTCTGTTGAAATCTTTACTTAGTATATACTGAGTTGATCTCCTGTATACATGGTGAGGAATGAGATGGGAGTGGGAGGGAGGTTTGGGGGGAAAAGCTGCTATAATTCAAAAATTGTACTTTCAAAATTCATATTTATCAAAGGAAAGTTTTTTTAAAAAAGCCTCTGAAAGCTGCATTGTAAGGGCCCTCACCTAAATAACACTTTTGGCTTGATGGGATCGCAAATGTCTGTTGTGGAACTAACATTTCCGTTTTCCTGAACAACCAGAACACCGTCACCATGCCTGTACCGGCTGTGTCAGGGGAAAACTCGAAAACAAACAGTTTCGTGAATTTGTGTCCTTCCAGTCAGTTTCCAAAGACTCGGTTGTTTTCTGCTCAGTGACAGAGCAGCACACACTGGCCCTGTAATCAGGTTCGCTGTAGACGGCATTTGTATTCACCGCGGTGCCCACGGTGAACTCAGGAACAAGCTCCTGTGTGCGAGTTCTGAGGAACAGCATGGGGCAGGCGAGAAAGAACGTGCGTTACGGCAGAATCAAAGCCTAACGCTTCTTTTATGTTAAATGTGGAGTGATTGCATTTTTACAGCAAGCAGGAGTCTAGTGCAGAGTGACAGTCAGTCAACACCAGGCGCCAAATTAAGGCAGGAGCTGCAAACAGTCGCAGTCATTATGTCTGGGACTTTTTTTCTGCAGAAGCAGTGATGTGTTTTTCCTGCCTCTCTCAGAATTGATGGAAATAGGGTTCTTCCCGAGTGGTGTCTGCGCAGAGCCTCTCGGCTGTCTATGGGAACATCACTTCCACCAGGCTGCGGCGCTTGTGGCGGAATCACCGACATCTCTGTGAGAAGGACAGTGCCACCACCGCCAGCGTCAGCAGCAGACATCAAGGAAGGGCTGCACCTGCTCTGCTGCTGAGAGGCCCCTACTTTTCCTTCTTCGTCTCCCTTTCAAGAGCTCAGGTTGTTACCAGCACCGCGGCTCACTAGGCTAATCCTCCACCTGCGGCACCGGCACCCCGGGTTCTAGTCCCGGTCGGGGCGCCGGATGCTGTCCCGGTTGCCCCTCTTCCAGTCCAGCTCTCTGCTGTGGCCCGGGAGTGCAGTGGAGGATGGCCCAGGTGCTTGGGCCCTGCACCCACATGGGAGACCAGGAGAAGCACCTGGCTCCTGGCTTTGGATTGGATCGGTGTGGTGCGGTGCGCTGGCCATAGCAGCCATTGGGGGGTGAACCAACGGCAAAGGAAGACCTTTCTCTCTGTCTCTCTCTCTCACTAACTCTGTTGTTTCCTTCCCGGGTCTTTATTTTCTTTTGGGGCCATCTCTCCCTACATGGAAACAGCCTAAAACCAAGGGTCTCCCTGTGTCATAGCTCTCTCAGGGCCCTGGGGAGGGGCTCATTCCTGATGGATGACTGAGTGGCTCAGAGACCAGAGAACGTGCTCTGCACGACTGTTAGCACAGGGGACTCCTGTTCATCTGCCCTCGATCACACAGAACACTGCAGGTGCTGCCATCCTGCATGGTGAAACCTGACCCAGTTTATTTCTGTGCCTCAAAGCATGGGAGAGTTGTGCAAACCAGACTCGGAGTACCAAAGCAGCAACAGTCACCATTCCCCTTATTCAGTAGGTGCCGAATAAGAGACTGACTGTCGGAGGAGAGGAGACGTGTGCGGCTCACTGGTGGACCTCAGGCCCCCAGGTCAGCCACGGGGATACAGCCCCTAGGAGGGACGTCTGGCACCTGACAGAGCAAGGCCTGCTCCAGGAGAGACGTGTGAACAAAACCCAGTGAAAACTCACAAGCCTGCTCACTACTGAGGCAGGAGCTGGCCCCTCGTTATCAGACCCTTCCACAAGGAATGAAGCCCTGTGAGGGCACAGCTTCTTAGGGGTCTTCAAGTCTCGGCTGGTTAGACCACCACCTGGCCTCTCTGGGCTGAGCACCCCTGGCTGGGGCAGCACCACCCGGGTTCTTGAACATGTCCCACCACTGTCTCTCAGCTTGGTGCTCAGACTGGGAATTCTGGAAAGATCCAAGTGGGCTTTTGATGGTTACCAGAGGGTCAACAGTTATCCTTATATGAGAGAGAAATCGTCTAACCGAGCCAAGCCCCTGGTACGTGGTGAGGCGAGGGAAGGAAAGGGACAGTGAGCACCGGGATGTGGCGGCCACACCGCGTCGCCCTCCCCGACGTGCAGCCATACTTACGAGACTTCTTGGTGGTGACATTGACCGGGGGGCTGGAGGGCCCTGTCCCACCCGTGTTGTAGGCTCTCACGGAAGCAAAGTAGATGGTGTTAGCCTTCAGCCCAGTGATGTTCTTGGTGGTGATGTTTCCACTAACTCTGGCTTTGCCAATCATGGGCTCTCTGGAGTCTTCCGTCCAGTACAAGACCTGATCATCAAAAACAAAGACTGAGGGACAAGGCAGCAGCACAAAGGACAACATGTGTTTCTGCACAGAATGGTTACACGAGAGTGAATCAACCAGAGTCTGTGTGCACAGACATTCTCGGTGGACAGTAGAGGAAGCAACTCCACGGGCGGCTGAAGGCCCGAGCTCTGGCACGGGCACGGGGGGCAGGCCGCAGACTGCACAGCTCAGTCAGGGATTCCACCCGTGGCGCCGTGCTGCTGCCTTTTCTTCCAGAACTGTTTGAATCGTGGCTGACGAATCAGTCAGCTCACACCGACCCCTTCTCGTGCAGTGAAGTGTTCAAGGTAGATCAGAAGAGGCGACGAGAGTTAAATTCTGCAGACATGTCAAGTCCTTTACAATCTACTGAAGAAGGTGCAACGTTGAGTTAAAGCTTATTTTTGTGCAAAACATGTTGAATTGACACATATGAAGGATCTTCATAAAGTTCGTAGAACATGTGCATGATGAAACACGCAGAGTTCAACGTTCTGCACAAAACTAAGCATCTTTTCTGTCAGTTTTCCACAAACCTCTCGAAGCGCCGTCCCGCCCGGGAAGAGCAAGTGCAGGCACACGGCAGAGAAGTGGGGGAGGAAGCGTGGGCGGGGAGTGTGAGGGCGGGGGAGGGGACGCAGACAGGAGCAAGACCTCCCAAAGACGCCCACAGGTGAGCAGGACTTGCTGCCTGCACCAGGAGCTTCCTTTAGCAGTACAGGAAGAACTCTGGTAGGTAGAACGAGGCACATTTTTAAAATAGTGATTGTATTTATTTTAAGGGCAGAGTTAGAGAAGGAGAGGTACTCTTCTGTCTGCTGCTTCACTTCCCAAAAGGCCTCAAGGGCCAGGGCTGGGTCAGGCTGAAGCCAGGAGCTTCATCCAGGTGTCCCACGCGAGTGCAGGGCACAAGGACCTGGCCGTCCTCCACTGCCTCCCCAGGTGCATCAGCAGGGAGCTCCATCAGCAGCGGAAGAGCCGGGACTCTCACCTGGCACCCATATAGGATGCTGGTGCAGGTGGTGGCTTCGCTGGCTGCGCCACAAGGCAGGCCCCAGCATTACTCTGATGCCAAAGGAAACCAAACCACGTCATCCACTTTGTGACTTGGGGGACTTGGAATTTCAAAAGCAGGGAGCCACTGATAGCTTCCCCAGGCCTACAAATGTGAGTTGCCTCGGAGTGGATTTAGGAGAACCTACTTTGTTTTTTGTTTTTTCAAAAAACCACTGAACTGCTTCTTGCAGGGTGGTCCAGGTCCCAGAGCAGGTTTCCTGTGCAATTCTCCAGTGTGTGGTGAGGTGGGGGAGAGAGAACTCTATCCCTCCAAGAACAAAATGCCACAATCTGAATAATTAAATAAGTGTGCTGCTCCCTTCAACGTCGTATTGTGGTGAGAACACTTGAGGTGACGTGGTCTTAGCAAGCACCCACGTGCAGGGCAGTGCAGGGCTGCCGACCCCAGCGGGGACAGGGAGCAGTGCCGCTCAGACACTGTCCATCCCAACAGGAAATGCACGCTGAAGGGGCTGTCGCTTGTGAATTTGCTTTCCCAAGATCCCCCAGGAAGACCTCCTGCTCGTGCCCCTCTCCTACGGTGCACACAGACATGCACGGTCCCAGGCCAGCAGCAGGACAGCAAAGCTGGGGTGTTACCTCGTAGCCCAGCACTCTTCCCGTGTTTCTGTTCCAGGCGATAGCGTTCCAGGAAACCTCCACTTCAGAAGCCGAAAAGCTCTGGACAGAAGTTCCCCGAGGGGCCAGCTGAGGTTCTGCCTCCAGAGAAAGACATGGCCGTCTTCAGCACACAAAGGCACAGAGACAGAAACCCAGCCCCGAGCCCCGGAAAACTCACCGTCCTCCCCGGAGTAGACGATGGACACGGGGCTCAGCGACCCTTCCCCCTGGTCGTTGTACACGCCCACTTTGACTTCAAAGGGAGACAGGGGGGCGATGCTCTCGTTCCTGTAGACAAACCTGGAGGATTCCACGGACGCCACACTGGCCTTGGTCCAGGCTGTCGAGCCCAGTGGCCGGAACATGACCAGGTACCCAAATCCGTCTCCACTCTGTAGCTCTTCTGCAATGGGCTTGGGAGAGGGTGGTCAGTCAGTCACTCTGCTCTTGAAAAGTCTTCTATTGAGCTGTGATACTGTTTATGGATAAGTTGGCATCCCTCTGCACAGACATATCCTAGTTCATCCTGTATTAAAATACTCTTATTTGGAATGTCAATTAGGAAAATGACTGTTTAAAGGACTCAGAAAAATAGCTGAAGATTTCAGGTAGAAATAGAACATGGGCTTTGCATATTTATATCTTCTCCCTTGATCATTCATAAATTGTAATAAAATGGTTTTAGAAGATTGCAAGAGTTTATGATGAAATCTGAAACATAATTTTGATATTGATTTTTTAAATCTGACAGCATTAACTTATTAACTGTGTTTCAAGGCTAGCTCAGTGGCGCTCTGTGGGACGTGGCTAGAACAGCAGGTGCTCTGGCGCTCAGAGCTGCGCAGCCCAGCCAGAGGCCTCGGGGCCGCCAAGCACACGCCTTCTCCACTGGTGACCCCAGCGAGGGCAAGCTCTGTAACAGACATTCACATTCTAAAAATTACTAAAATTTAAAAAATAGGATTATATACATATCCCAACAGAGCTCTGAAGCAGTTACAAAATATAAATAACCACATAAACGAAGCAAATGAAAGTGAATTTGTGCTTTCATTTAGGCAAACATTCCACCTGATTACAAGAAACTTGTATTTAAAAGTCAGTGGAATTTGCTTTTTTCAGATGTGCTGTTTGTTTTCCAGGGAGCCACTGGGTCAGTACTGGGGGTGCAGAGTCTGTGCACCGTGCCGTTACAGCTGTGTGTGTCTGCGTACCTCTGTAGCACCGGTGGAGCCCACAGCTTACAGGGCTCCTGTGTGAACGTGGAATGGTGCAGTGTTAGAGGGCGGGGCCAGACATGGGCGGGGGCAGAGCTCTCTACTGGGAAGACGCGGGGCGGCACTGAGCAGGCAGCCAGGAGGAAGGGGGCAGCGAGGGCCTCCAGGACAGAGCCCGGCTGCCCCTCACTCCAGGACGGACGGACGGCGTCCGGCGCCTGTGGATTCCCACCAGCGGCCACATCAGCCGAGTGTCTCCTGTGTTCTTCCCAGCCAGCTCAGTCCCCTTCCTTCTCAATGACTCGGTGGGACATGGACTCACCTCCCAGGTGACGACGAGCTCAGAGCGGCTCCCTCCACCGCCTTCGATGTTGACAGGAGGCACAGCAGGCACTGGAGGGATGGGAGGAAGGCGGGGTTATGGAATCTGTCCTCAGGGCGGGGTGGGGGGCACCCCATCTCGGGCAGGCACCTGTGAGATCTGCCTTGCCTAAGGAAGGTAAAGCAGGCTTCCCCGAGGACACAGCTGTGTTGGATGCAGAGCGGCCTGGCTCCGCGGCTCTCCTGCAGCCGGTGAGGTGCCTGGCTGAGCGTCGGCGGCTGCCTGGCTCGGGGCGCCCCCACTGCCGAGTGAACCCCGACTGCAGCAGTGTGCAGCAGGTAGCAGGGAGAGCATTCGCCCATTACCTTTGTCAGCGAGCGGACGGATACTCTTCCTCTCCCTATTAGCCATCAGGACATCTTCCTCTTTAAAGTTGAGTCTTAGAAAATGTGTAGATACATTCTCAGCCTGCCGCCCCCTCAAGGGGAGCCCAGGGAGCCCATGGAGTCCCCTGCCTCTCTGCGTCCTGGGGAACCCGCGATGCTGACGGCTCAGGGCGAGCCGTGCGGCTGAGGGCACCACGTGTGTGAGCACGCATGCCCGACTGCACAGACCATCTCTACACACCGAGACAGGAGCCCAGGTCCGTGAGAGCAGGCCAGTCTCCAGGTGCACGTCTCTGACATGGCGCGGACTGGGCTGTTCAGCCGCACACGCACAGGTGTGCTGAGAACTGGCGGCCGGAGGTTAAGACACTGACATCTAATTGCTTACTTCAGCCTTGTTCCCGTCATAGGTAGGATCGGAATAAATCCCTGTCAATTTGTTATTCCCAGTTCATACAGATGCTTGGCCCGATACATAACACAGTGACGCACTAATCTGTTACTTTTCACAATAGCATTCATCAGATTTACCCTGAGCTTTGCCTGCCTTGATATTCCTAAGTGTTTAAAAGGTCAGCTGAGTCTAACCCTTCTTCTGAGTCTTCTGATCCTGGGCAAGAGCGGCAGGAGGCAGGGCAGCTGCCCAACGGTGGCCCAGGGCCCCGTGCGGGAGCGCTCAGTGGTTGGCTGTGTAAGGAGAAGGACTCTGACACTTACGTGTCCTCAGAAAGAGCAAGTTTCTTTGCTAATTAACCATGCTGAAATCTCAAATCCGTACTGAGAAGCCAGTCTTTAACAGTACCCAGCAGGACAGCAAAGTCACAGGGAACCCCCGGGGCAGTCAGGGCGCCTGGCTCCCATCTCCCGGTGGCCACACAGAGCTTTGCAAAAAACCACCAGGGTCTGGACCACCCAGCTCAATGTAACCGAAATACAAATGAGCTGGAGACAGACAAGGAGAACCTGAAGATCGTTCTCCACCGTCTGGGACAGTGGGCCCGGGCCTGGCCATCTGCACTGTCTCTGGCCGGGACTGTCTGCACCCACGTTCAACCGTGAGATAGGGACATGGGGGTGGGAGTCCAGGGGTCTGGGTTCAAATCCTGGCCCTGTCAGAGACAGTCAGCTGACACCCGGTCTTCATCGTCCACCCCTGAGACAGCACAGAGCTCCCCGCCTGACTGCACTGGACGCCACTGCTGTCACCTATGGGGCTTTGCCTCAATCCAGGGCCACAAGTGTGACATTGCCATGACTGAACTTACCTGAGCGTGGTAGGCACTTTCTGAGGGAGCCCTGTTTGTTCAACTAGGCCAGCACCAGCAGAGGGATCCCGGTGCCTGGGACAGCGAGAACCCCAGCCTGCTGAGCTGTGGGCAGAGGCGGCCCCGGCTCTGGGGACCTCCCCGGTGGGTTTGCGAAGCCGCAGGCTTGTGTCCGAGCCAGGCTCCTCCCACGCAGCTGTGAGGCCGGGACCCACCTCACTTGCACAGGGAGAAGTCACACGACTGCTCAGCAGAGCTGTGCCCCACCCAGTGTGGAGAAACGGGCGCACGTGTCTGGCTGGGCGCCTGACCCTCTCTGCGGCCTCTCAGACCATTTTGATAAAAACAGCAGGAACTCCTTGTTATCCTCAAATCCACAGCTGTGAGCAAACAGCTGCGACGCAGACACAGCTTCCCAGGAAGCCTTGCTGTGCCAGGGCCATGAGGGGAGATGGCGCCCGGGGAGCCCGCGACCCGGGAGCAGCACCCTGCCTCAGGGCTGGCTCCCTGCTGGGAGTCCTGGGTGTGTTCAGAGACAAGGAGTGTTTACCTGAGGCTCTCGTCCTCAGCAGTTCTGAAGGTTTACTCGGCTCTCCGATGCCAATGCTGTTCCCGGCAACAACTCGAAATTCGTACTCCACCCAAGGACTCAGCCCCACCACCGTGGCGTTGTACGTCTGCCCGCTGAGGATCTCTGGGTCTACAAAGAGTGGGACACTCACGCCATCGAAGTCAGCACTAGTCAGAACCCAGCAACCACAAGCCAGTGTCAGAACACCGCCCAGAGGCGCCGCCGGCTCACCTGTCCCCACAGCCTGCCAGCCCACGGAGAACGGCGTCCGCGTCTGCACCGTGAATATCTGGATGGGGCTGTTGTTGTCGGGGCCTGGCCGCCAGCGAATGTGGGAGCTGGTGCTGGAGACGTGCTCCACGCTCACGCCCTCCGGCGGACCTGGGGGGCCTGGACAAACATGCTACAGTAGATGCTCAGATCATGCTTTGGACAAGCTCGGGTTCATGGCTCATTTTCCTTGTTATGCTTAGAAAACACAGTGTTGAACAGGAAGAACTGGTAGCATGCCGTTAGAAATTCAGGTCGTATTAATCAGCTCACGTGGTAGAACACTGACTTAGAAATGTTTTCTCTGGAGAACAGAAAATGCCAGGCACCAGATGGCTGACAGCCACCCAGGAGGGAGCCAAGCCCACAAACGGATACCCGCGCTCTCTCATTTGCCCCTCAACTCTACGTCCAGCAAATGCAGGGAGTGTGGCCTCTGCTCCGAGGGAGGGCTTTGTGTTAAACGGACCTGACACCGCAGGCCAAGCATTCACTGCCCACAGAGGACCCACACAATGCAGCGTGCACGCCCTTACTCCACACCCCCTCAGGTCTGTGTGGTGAGGCCGCATCGGTGCCTGGGACCGGGCACGAGCACCAAGGTCGCGCCTGCCCCACCCGCTCACCTCTGACAGTGACATCAGCCGCAGCAGACAGACTTTCCAGGGGCGTCTGCACGGTGCACAGGTACCTCCCAGAGTGACGAAGCTGGATATTCCGTATCATCAAATCCCCAGCAGATTCCTGCCGACAGAACGCGAGAGATGGAGGAAAGCGTCACTAGACACAGCGAGCCCCACCTCTCTATGCTGGATAAATGTGAAACAAAAAGACAGCTCTGGAGTTAGGAGACAGACCCGTGCCGGGACAGCTTCTCTCTGATGCCTTGTATCACTCCCTCTCTTCTAACTGCACAGGGCAACTAGTATCGCCGTGAAAGGCATAACAAAAACCAGATGCAGCACCGTGAACGCACAGTAAGTAATTATCCACGCACAGACGTGGGCAGTGATTACGAAAGCTGGCGATTCATGGCCCACGCTCGATTCGTGTTACTGGGTGTTTTGAAATAGTCCGCGACTCACTCCTCCAACCCTCTCAAAGTGAGTGGCTCCGTTTCTCAGGTCTATGAGGTCGCCGTTGAACAACCACAGAAACGCCACCGCGGTGGAGGGGTCGCGCGACACCTGGCAGGGCAGGATGATGCTCTCGCCGACGGTAACGTCCATGTTGGACGGCGGCACGGTTATGACAGTCCTCTCTGTGGGGAGAAAACATTCCTTACAAACACATCTAAAACGCCAGCGTGGGGACGGGAAATCACACGAAACTGTACACAGCCGGGCGCTCTACCACGTCCAGCCCGAGACGCGCCTCGCTGTATTTACCATCAGCCTGGCTTGTTACGTAGTGGAATTAAACACACAGTCCCGCTGACACCCTCGGAACACGGCATTCCCTACACGTGCACTGCACACGCTCTTGCTGTGTTTGCTTTCTAATGCGAGGTGCAGCACGACCACTGACACGCAGGTGCTTCTCCAGCGAGCCCACATCGGCTTCACACACCAGCACCAGAGACGGCATGTGCATTCCACCTGAGTATCAGTGCAGTGAGTTAACCTCTTAATGCACTTCTGGTCAGACTTTCCCATGTTAGCTCAACATGCAACGTGCGTGGGAAAGACCAAAATTGCCCATTTTCATTCAAATTCTGCAGTGTTGGAATTCGACTTTCATCATGAACTACGCCTTCTGGAAACGCCACCTCAGCGTCAGCCCCTGCTCCCCACGAGCTGGCCTTTACTCACGGGCACTTCAAGGGACCACTCTACGATGCTGCAGTTGTACTTGAGTTCCGTGTCGTTTTGACGACTTATTTATTACAAAGTGCGCGGCTTCATTTCCAGAGCAATGCACTGAGAAGAGCCAGCCCGTGTGCAGAGCTGAGCCGCCTGCCAGGAATGAGCAGGTCTTGAGGGACTTACAGGTGAGAATTTAGCTCTAAGGCAAACGATTATGAAAGAAATATGGTACAGGAAGAAGTTTCAAAATAGGAGGATGACCCTGGAGAACTGTGTCTGCAGAACACCCGTAGGATAAAGCTGCGAAAACCAGGAGACATGCCAACCATGCCCATCCCCCAGCGGCTACCCATTCCGTCCACCAAACCAAACCAGCACCGACCGGGTTGTATGCCTGCCTTCTGTCTTCAGAGGCTCCGGTTACCATTCACGTCAGAGGCATCAGCCGAGCCCTTCAGAGACTGGGGAAGCAAAGCAGAAGGACTCCCCTTGCTCAGGGCACAGTGGGTGAAGATTGTCCCATTCTGAAGTTATCGGAGATAAAGCTAACTGTTCCTCTAAGTTCTGTCTTCATGCTTTATTACTATGGAAGATGCATACACTTTTTAATGTACTGTTTTCTAGGGAGAAGTTTGAAGAATGGCTTTGTGGACGCTGGCCATTTCAAATTCCCAGCTGATTATTCCTCTTAAACTAAGACATTATTCCTACATAAGGGGAATGACATCTGGGGTTTCAAGAAAACCATTCAGACTAGAAGGAATGTTTTCTTCTTATGGGTTCTCTGAAAAACAAAGAATCGGTAACGTGTTCTTCACACTTATGGAAGGATGCGTAGGCTAACTGGACTGGGGAGTGTTGACAGACCAACGCTGCCCCCACGGAAAGTTTCAGATCTGCACTCACAATACTGCTCCTCCACGTAGGACACCACGGGCTGGCCACACGGAAGGGTTCCCGACCCACGTGGCTCACTGGCAGCACAGCGACTATCACTAAACCACCACGAATAAGGAAGCGTGTGTTCTAGTTTAGACTGCTCGTGCTTCACCGGCTAAGTCATTTATAACTTAGATGACTTAGTGCCCACCTGAGTACCCAGTGCGTGTCCATCCCCGCTCTGAGTAGTACAGACGCCGTGGTGAGGGAGATGGGGGAAAATGGCACAAATAAGAAAGATGTGTTGGGGCTGGTGCTGTGGCCACTTCCTGTAAAGGCAGTAAAGCCACTGCCTGCAGTGCTAGCATCCCACATGGGCGCCAGTTTGAGCCCCGGCTGCTCCACTTCCAATCCAGCTCTCTGCTATGGCCTGAGAAAGCAGTAGAAGATGGCCTAAGTCCTTGGGCCCCTGCACCCATGTGGGAGACCTGGGAGAAGCTCTGGCTCTTGGCTTTGGATCAGCACAGCTCCAGCCGTTGTGGCCAATTAGGAAGTGAACCAGTGGATGGAAGACCTCTCTCTCTCTACCTCTCTGCCTCTCCTTCTCTCTGTGTGTAACTCTGACTTGCAAATAAATAAATGATTCTTAAACAAATAAAGATGTGTCTATTTCACAGTTTTTACCTAGAGAGTAGGGCCAGCATTGAGCAAGTGGGTGGCCTTGGGGCTGGCCTTGTGTTTCAGTGGGTTAACCATCCGCTGGCAATGCTGGCAAACCATATGAGCGCCACTTCAAGTCCCTGCAGCTACACTTCTGATCCATCTTCCTGTTAATGCACCTGGGAATCCACTCAGTATGTGTGAGACCTACGTGGAGTTGCAGCCTCCTGGCTTTACCCTGACCAACCCAGTCATCCGGAGAGTGACCCATCAATGAAAGATCTGTCTCCTCTCTGTAACTCTGCCTTTCGTATACATAGAGAAATCTTAAAGCAGCCAGCCCCGATCAAGTACATTTTATAATTAAGAACCCTCTAAGAGACACATAAAAATGTACAGGTTTATGGGATATCTTGCAATATTCTAATCCAGAAATGCCTCCTGCAATAGCCAATCAGGATAAATGTATCCATTTCTTCAAACATTTAACATTTCTTTAAGAAGAAAATATTCAAAGTCCCATCTTAATATCTTTCATAGAGAAATACATGTTAACATTACAGTCACCCTATCTGTGCAGCAGACCCACCACGTCTTGCTCCAATCTGACCTTAGCATAAGGTCTGGAAGTCAACCTTCCTTTGTCCCATTTCTTGACATATGAACTTTAGGACACGTTCTCATGGAATTATTTTACCTCAAGAGGTTGAACTCTTTGTATACATCTCTGTTGAGTACATCTTGTAACTTAGAAGCTGGCACCGCAGCTCAATAGGCTAATCCTCCACCTTATGGCACCGGCACACCGGGTTCTAGTCCCGGCCGGGGCACCGGATTCTGTCCCGGTTGCCCCTCTTCCAGGCCAGCTCTCTGCTGTGGCCCGGGAGTGCGGTGGAGGATGGCCCAAGTGCTTGGGCCCTGCACCCCATGGGAGACCAGGAGAAGCACCTGGCTCCTGCCTTCGGATCAGCACAGTACGCTGGCTGCAGCGCTCTGGCCGCAGCGGCATTGGAGGGCGAACCAATAATAAAAGGAAGACCTTTCTCTCTGTCTCTCTCTCTCACTGTCCACTCTGCCTGTCAAAAAATAAAAATAAAAAAATAAGCAAAGGTGATGGGACTTCGCTGTGTGCTCTGACCCTGGCTGTGGGGCTGCACAGGCGGCGTGGGCGGCTGCCCGTCTGCACCCCCTCAGCTGCATGGAAGAACTCACTCTGAGTTGTTTGCTCTGAAGCTCCGTATAAAGCCAGTGTCCTTGTCCACGGCGTAGGATACTCTGACCTCCGAGTCAGTGGATATTAGCTTTGCCATGATGCAGGAATTCCTGACTCTGGACTGAATAGTTCTGTGGTTTGCTTTCCTGCAATGTCCATGTGGACGCCATTATTTCCTCGTAACTGATTGAAAACTCCTGTCCTGGCGCTTGAACTGGAGGAGCCAGCATGTCTGTGCACACTGCTGGCACAGCCCCCAGAGACAGAAGGGCCAGTGGCGCCACCCCAGACTCTGACCCTGACCTCTCAGCCCCTCCCTCCCTGGAGCTTTGCTGATGTTCCTGCTGCTGCCACCACCACTGCCTCATCTGGGGCCCAGGCCCTGACGTGGCCCTGCTCTCACCAACATCAGATCAGCACCTGCACACCTGTGTCAGCTGCACACCTGTGTACTCCTGGGCTAAGCACACACCTGCACACTTGTGTCAGCTGCACACCTGTGTACCAAAACCCCATGTCTGCACATGTGTACTCCTGGGCTAAGCACACACCTGCACACCTGTGCCAGCTGCACACCTGCGTACTGAAATCCCATGTCTGCACATGTGCACTCCTGGGCTAACTGCACACACTGCACATGTGTGTGTTGAGAACTCATGTCTGCTGGTGCACTCCTATGCTATCTGCACACTCACACACTGCATACCTGCTCCGAAGCTTTGCAGCCCTCACGTGCATGTGCCACATCTTCACCTACGCAAGTGGTCAGTTTCAGTGATCTGTCTGGGTGTCTGTTCCTGGGTGTGTACATGGTGCTTGGACCAGCACATCTCCATCTGCTGCTTCCGTCCTCTGCAAGCAGACTGAAGCCACCCAAGGCGGCTGACGACTGTCCTGAGGGGCTCACTTGCACCACCGAGCTCAGCCCTGGTTCAGAATTCCAAGTGCATGCCCGGAGAGACACGCCTCAGAGGCTGGCAGAGTGGTGCGCAGGCAGCAGAAACCCACGCCGGTGCTCACTTTTGATTCCATTAATTCTCTCCGTGCACACACCGTCGGTCCTGGGAGACTGAGGCCTCTGAGAGATGCCTTCACGCCATCAGATGACCAACTGGGGTGTTCACACACAGACCTGCTCCACGCAGCAGAGTGGGCACAGTGACCAGGGGCTCCTGCACATGGGAAAACTCCTTGGTATTTATGGTACGGGAGACCATGAAGCTCTGGCTTACAACACAATGTAATGGAGAGAAATCAACCGTGCTAGACTTTATCATCTGTGAAACCTTTGCGATTTTTTAGCCTCTTTCCCATGAAATAAAATAGATCTTGCTCCATCCCATTTCCTCCTTCGTGCTTTTTCATGCTATACTTGTAGGAAGGCTGGTGTGATGCTTTAAAAATTTCAGCACGCACCAGAATTCCCTGGAGCGTTTGTTCAAAATGTGAATTCTGGGGCTCTCGCCAGAAATGCTGAATTGGTCAATCCGTAGGGGACATGGGAACATGGGCCTGGCCGGGGGGGGGGCACCATGGCACAGGTTCAACTGCGTCTTGGAGTGCCCTCATCCCATACTCCTGGACCACCAGGGCTGAGTTCCTGGCTTTGACACCAGCCCTGGCCATGGTGGGAATCTGGAGAGTGACCCAGCAAACGGGAGCTCTCCGTCTCTCTTTCTGTCCCTCTGACTTGCAATTACATAC